AACAGCCTTGGCGAATGCCTCTTTTGCTCCTGAAAAATCTCTCAAGCTCACCATTAATAACCACTAAAAAATATGCTGTAGATATGCAAGTAAATATCCAGCGTGCAAATATGTCTGGGAATCCAAGTGCTTGAAAAATCTTCATTATAAAAGACCATTGGACTGTATCAAAAGCCTTTGATATATCAAACTTTATAGCGCAACGTGGGGAGATGGACTCTTTGTGATAGTCTTTTACTAATTCTATTGCAAGAAGAACATTTTCTAAGAGCAAACGACCCGCCACAAATGCACTCTGATTTGGCTCGATAAATTCCGGTAAAATGATCTTCAAACGATTGGCGAGTATCTTCGAAATTACCTTATAGATCATGTTGCAGCATGCCACAGGCCGGTAATCTTTGATTGTTGGTGAAGTAGAGTCTGAATTTTTCGGGATAAGTGCCAGGAGAGTTGCATTTACGGACTTAGGCATGAAACCGAATAAAATGAAAGACTGCACCGCCACAATAAAATCTGAACCAATTATATTGCAACATAGAACTCTTTCGTAAAACCATCTGGCCCTGAAGCCTTGCCCGATGGTAATGAGTAGAGTGCTTTCCGAATCTCTTCCCCTAATATCGGAGCCGCAAGTCCGGCACAGTGCTCTTGGGAGCACCGAAAAGGCAGCAGCTCACTAAGATACTCAACAAGAGGATATTGATTTCAATGATTTTTCTCTTCAAATTGGGCTTTAGACAATTTCTGACTAATAAGATCCAGAAATATACCATCGCAATCTCCAAAAATCAATTTTCTGTCCAATAATGTTGACCTTTATGACTTCATATTTATCTTACAAAATCTAAGAGAAATATTTTTTTATATATTTTTCTATGTTTTCATCATTTTAAATAAAAATTATTCAATAATCAATTAATTTATATAGAATATTCTAACATTTTTGTTTTTGAAGATATGTGGCATGTTGTCATAGAATTTAATTTCATTTTCAATTATTGAATTCATTGTTAGGATTAAAAATACCTTATTCAAAATAATTCCTTAACTTGTATACGCAAATTTCTTGGTAAGTGATCTTTATCAATTATCATATTTTTTTTTTTTATTAATCTCATTAATTAATCAAAACATAAAGTTTTTAAATTATGCATACAGTCTTTTAATCTATTGAAACTTTTACTAGTTATACACATGCTATAATGAATATATAAAATTTCGATTTTGAAATCTAATAGTCAAATAAATGTTGAATTAAATAAAATATAAGGTTTATATTGTATCTCAATATCGTTAGTAAGATGATCTATATATATGAAAGAGTAATTTGGATTAAAGGGTTACAATTTGTTTCTTTTTAATAAATTTTAAATACAAATATTATTTTATTTTACATAATAATTTAGAAGACCTGATAGATTATTAGTTTACAATAAATATATTTAGTCAAAATATTTATATTAATTCTTATTGATTATATATTTTATAAGTAACTAAATATATTTACATAGTTTATTTACTAATTTCACCCACGCATCACATGGGACTTTTCCTAGTATGTACAGTATATATTTAATATATTATTTATTTTTAGGGTGAACAATTTTTTAAAAAAATTTGGAATTGTAAGTAATTTGTAAAATTCTTTCTAATATGTTCATTGCATAGGTGGGCAATATAAGATGTTATTCAAATAGAAATTTGATAACAAGATGATATAGTTATAAAAAAAAAAAAAATCCAAAATGTGCAAGATAAGAAATTTAAAAGGGAAGGTTAATCCGGAAGTAAGAGAATAAGAAAAAGGCAACAATACCATATACAAGTGTTCGAAAACGTGACCAAAACGTCGCCTAACAAAATCTTGAACAAGGCCATATACTATATAGACTATATAATATAGTCTTGTAAATTAACGTTTTCGCTTTTTGGAGAGAACAGAGAGACAAGACAATGGACCGTGGGAGGATCCAGAGTTTCAGACCAAACATCACGTTTTTTCTCACTCCTTTGTTGTACTCTTCAACTATCTCTGACTGTTTTACTGTTTTCTTTCACTGCTAAAGCTTACACGTGCACTTGTCTCAACATTTATTTTCTTAGTAAAATGAAAAATAAGATAGATGATATATATTTTGATTTTTTTTAAAAAAGAGAGATGATATACAGTTCAAAATATAATTGAATATTTTTATCAAATATAAAATATACTGTTCAAATATCCAGCAGTTTATATAGTTGTTTGGCACTTTCATTGTTATCTATGATTTACCCTCACGGATTCGCGTGCATGCAATTCACATTAAGAAATAAGAACAGCTAAAACTCAAGCTCCTGCTATTTTTTTTTAATGTGTTTTTTTTTTTATAAAAGGCTTGGAATCTAATGTGTTCAATCGATTGATCTTAAAATAAAACAATATTTCAAGCGAACTCTAAAGATCGTTGATTCGAATGATATTTGAGAAGAAATCAAATTAAAAACGATGGTGCCGATTAGAAAAAATGTTATGGTCTAGGTCCAAACCTCTTAGTTTTTTCAAAAATCGCAATAAATCAGTTAAATTCAATTAATTTTGCTAACATTGTTGTTTTATTTAATAGTCATCTCTATACTATTAAAAGAGAAGTACAAATGAAAATGGGTCGGGTCAAAATCAGTAAATTGACCCGAAATTCTGAAATCGGATCTTTGAAATTTTTTGGAATATAAATTCGAATTAATAATGAAAAATCAAACTAAAATCAAATGTTTATGGAAATAAAATAAAATATTATTGAACTTATGGTAACTAATTATAAAAGCATATTCCGAACAATACTATACATTAATTACATATAATATATTTGTTCATATATATTAGGAACAAATTCTATAAGAATCCACATTTTTGTCATTAATTTTGCTTATTTTAGCCAATTATCATTAATTGAAAGATATCTTATTTGCTTCTAAAGATTTCTATAAATTTAAATAGATATTTTTATTTTGGCCATGTAAATTAAATAGATATGAAATCCATGTAACTAATTTTAATTTAATTAGATTAAATCGAAATTATGGTATTTTCATACTCATAGCTTACCAGAGAAGTTTAAATTTCAAATTATAAAGATTTCTTGAATATGATTTTTAGATTTTATTCAACAAGATGATAAATATTTATTAAATTTTGTGAATCATGAAAATATTAATTAATTTTTAATCATTATATTTCACCTTTCAATCTCTTATCTAACTAATAAGATGCACATTATATTATTTCTATGTCCAAACTTCATTTTGTTGTATGACTAAATAATATTCCCAATAGAGCTGGCAAAGCGAGTTGATTTGTCCCGTTAAGCCCGTTTTGCGATAGGCAAAATATATTTTGACATGTAGTTAGTCGGTCCGCACGACCCGCGGGTAGCATATATGAAACACAAACCCGTCCCTCGAATGTATGCTGATTTGCGGGGTTGTCCGTAGATTTTGTTTAAATAATTTTAAATTAACCAAAATTTAAAATACTACTAAAATAAATAAATAAAAATTAGAGAAAATAATTTTATATATCATTATATTTATAAATACTATAATTTCATTTACTAAAAGTTTTTTTAAATTACCACATGTGGAATAAATTATATTTTTATCAATAAATACTAACATGCGGGCTGATCCGCCAACCTGCGGACAAAAACCGATTAAAACCTATGATCCACTGCGAATCAATCTATGTGGCCCGCTTATTTGCGGGTTTAATAAAATTTCCCAAATCTTTCATATAGTGAGATGATTTGGGCTCGATCCGTAGTTTTTGACCTATTTTGACTGCTCTAATTCTCATGAATCGTCTAATTTTAAAATTCTAAAACACAAAATTCCATTTTGTAAATCATAATTAATATGATGGGTTTAATTATAAACAATTTAACATATTCTCTACAATTTGTTATTATGAATATTTATAAGTACATTACACGATTGGACTAAAAATACGCACAATATTAAAATCAACGTATGTAAACCAATATTCTCCCGCGGTGGACCGCGGATCCGATCCTAGTTACTACTTAATAGGATTATAAATGCATGTATGATTACTAAGAGCAACGTGAATAAACTAATTGATCTACTATGCTGGCAAAACTATTTTCTTTATTTTTTCATTTCTATGTAACTTTTTTGATTTTGAATACTTTTGTTAACACCCTCATACATTTACATGTAACGTAGACTGAAATTTGACAATTCTTAGACAAGGTTTCTATTTAGATTGAGATGTATAGGTTTCGTCAAGAAAAATTGTAGTTGAGATGATGTAATTATATATAACCAATGTATATGGGTGCTAATTGGCAGATGGGAAAAGAATTGAGGCTTTGATTATTAGTCTCATCATTAATAAAAATAGTGGTCCTTATCTCTCAGTGTCTTTCATAATTCCGATAACAAAGACAAAATAGAGAATCGAAGAAAGAGACATTTGTGTTATTATCAGTAAATTATAAATTCATAATATTAAAACACTACTATTATATTCGGAGTAAATTGGCTCCATTATTAGTGATTAATTTTTTTTTTCTTTTCCCCCATAGAACATTCAACGTTTCCCACCCATGCAAAATCCAACCTAAAAGCCAAACTTTATAAAGAAAACCAACAAAGAGATCCCTATAATCTAAGATTGCAACAAAAATGACCCAAAATTAATATCTTAGACAACCACATCCTTTTCAATCATGTAAACACTTGCAAACTTTCCGTACGTAGCCCATTAAAAGGTACTAAAAATAGTTTTAGTCGCACAAAGTTAGACCAAATTCAATACAAGAGTTTGTTCAAGGCGCAAAATCATTATTATAATATTACAATATAGTAATGTGATAATAACCAAACAAGAAAGTTAAGTGATGATTTGGTGTGGAAACAGCAAATATTGGTCTCTACTAGAAAAAAACCTAGTGGGACTACAAATTAAAATAAAACACAAAAGAAAGAAAAAAAAGTTAAAGTCTCTCTCTCTTTCTACTAAGCTGCTTCATCTTCTTCCTCACACACTCTCTCTCTCTCATTCTCTCAAAACCAGTAAACAACAGTCTACACAAATTCATAGCCCCACCAAAAAAAAAGACTCCCAGGATTTATAATCACAGATGAATTGGGGTTTATTGGTTGGTTATACGTAAAAAATCAGTCCCAAGTTTGTTTGTTAGTTTATTCCATTTTTTTGTGTTTTTTTTTCCCATAATTTATAAATTTTATAAGCAATGGAGTCCCACAACAACACCACTGGTTCGGCCCATCTGGTCCCATTCATGGGACCAATCTCCGGTTCAGTAACCACCACTGCTCAAAATTCCACTACCACCACCGTCTCGGCCGCTAAAACACCGGCCAAACGACCCTCCAAGGACCGCCACATTAAAGTAGACGGCCGCGGCCGGAGGATACGTATGCCGGCTATCTGCGCGGCACGTGTCTTCCAACTAACACGTGAGTTACAACACAAATCAGACGGCGAGACTATCGAGTGGCTGCTCCAACAAGCGGAGCCTGCTATCATCGCCGCCACCGGAACTGGAACCATACCGGCGAATATCTCTACTTTGAACGTCTCTCTCCGAAGCAGTGGCTCTAGTCTCTCAGCTCCACTGTCTAAATCTTTCAACATCGGAAGAGCTGCTCAAAACGCTGCCGTTTTCGGGTTCCAGCAACAGCTTTATCCTCCTCATCATATCATGACAGATTCTTCTTCCTCTTCTCTTCCCAAAACATTCCGTGAAGGAGATCTCTTTAAAGATCCTAATTCTCTCGATCAAGAACCCGGTTCAAGATCGCCTAAACCGGGATCAGAAGCTCCTGATCAAGATCCGGGTCTGACCCGGTCAAGAACACAAAACATGATACCGCCGATGTGGGCAGTGGCGGCGCCAACGCCAGCCTCCACAAACGGAGGTAGTGCTTTTTGGATGTTACCAGTCGGAGGAGGAGGTCCGGCCAACGTTCAGGATCCATCACAGCACATGTGGGCGTTTAATCCGGGTCATTACCCGGGTCGAATCGGGTCGGTTCAGTTAGGGTCTATGTTAGTGGGAGGTCAACAATTAGGGTTAGGTGTTGCTGAAAATAACAATTTGGGGCTATTTTCCGGCGGAGGAGGAGGAGAAGGAGACGGCGGTTACGGAGGCGGTGGTCGGGTTGGTCTCGGAATGAGTCTAGAGCAAAAACCTCAACGGCATCAGCAACATCAAGTGAGTGATCATGCTACTGGAGACCAAAATCCTACTATAGATGGTTCTCCTTGAAGAGACGTCATAATTTGTCTACTTCTTTTTTAGTAATTTTTTTTTTGGTTTTTAAAAAGTGTGAATGTGTGATTTATTGCAACTTTTGTTGAGGACTCCGATGTTAATATGGGTTTTAGGGTTTGCTTTTCGGGATTGCCAAATTGTTATTTTAAAAAATGGAAATTTTTTTCGTTGCATAAGCATAACTACCCTTGAATAAACCAAAGATAAAATGAGTTTTGCAACTCTTTTTATTTGATAAAAAAGCATGTCACTGAAGAGTGAAGATTTACTCTGATAAGAATGTTAAATATAGTTGAATCTATGGGTAACATAATGAACAAAAAAATAGTATAATTATCAAAAATAGTAAGAATATATTAAATATTTATCAAAAATGCCTTCTATCTTTTGTTGATGGGTAAAATTAAAGAATAAACCTTCTTTGACCGCTAATATATTTCAAATATTTCGAATTGATTGCGGTTCGTAAAAAGCTAGGAATATGAATAAAATATATGGTGTAGAGATAAACTTTATTGGGTGCATGAGCACCACATGTTTGGACACAAATGGGTTTTTAAATTCCTGTATATATTAATTCTCTTTTACAATTTCGTATTTTGTCTATCATACTTTTCTAGTATCTACAGAAAAATTTTGTCCACTTGTGGAGCAACATGGACACGTCAGAGAGAACTGTCGGATAAATCTTTCCAATGTGTTTGAAATATACGCTCGGACTGGTAATTTGGTGGAATGCTTTTTTGTTAATGTGATTATGCAAAATATTAGCAATTGAAAAGGTAAAAGAAAATAATTGTTTACAATAAAATTTGTACAGTTTTCCAATTGATATTTAAAAGTTTCAAAACATCTTAACAATTTTCAATATTTATATATTTGTTTTATGAAATATTACTTTAAAATTATTAAAAACATTATTTTGTTTATGAAATATAAGTATATATACTGGTGATATAATATTATATTTCGCGATTATGCAAAATGCATCGAATAAATATTATACTTTTTAAGTAATTAATTGACAGCACCACAATTATCGGACGTGAATTGTTTCCGTCCATATGCCGAATGTTGATTCGATCTTTCGAGCTAGTAAAAACTAAAAAAGTAAGTTTCCTAATTTTTCTATGCTATGGTTAATTTCTTAATTTATTTCTCTCAACAATTTGGTCATTTAGTAAATTATCCAAAAATACATATGAATTGTTTTGAAAGCTCTTTTCAATTTTAATTTTACTCTTATCAAAAAATTTCCAAAAATTAAACCCTTTAACAATTAGAACATCAGACTGGATTCTAGATCATCATACCGACCTTGTATATACTAGAACCCGCCATGAAAGAATGTATGGACTCTCGTCAAAAATCTTTTAGTCAGTGAAAATTTTATTCTTTTAATAAAATCTACATCTATACCTTCACGTTTGAACGAAATAAATTTTATGAAATTACAAATTTTTAAAGTTTTAAATTGAAGAATAGTAAAAAATTATATGAAATATGAATATATTATAGTTTTGATTGATGTAATAATGCGCTATTTCATGTGTTTTATTAATAGACTAGATATGGACCCGTGCGTTGCACGAGTTTGCGGTCGAAATTGTTATTTTTAATTTTTATTTTTGTAAGCTTAACTAAAATTATAAAAAAAAAATTTTAATTTTAGAAAATGTAGTATTTTAATCATTTTTTAAATATAGATTAATTATGCATAATGTGCAATATAAAATACTACTATAGTTTTGTTTATTATATGTTACAGTATGATATTTAATAAATGTTCATATGTGTATTATTGAATCTTAATAAATTATCTACATCCATCGAAAGAGTGTATAACACTTTCTAATTTCAATGTGGGCAAGATTAAAATAAATTGTGACAATATGAGACAGTCTATATCCACATCATGTTACTTTACTTGATAATATGAGAAATCCTCAAAACAAAAAGACAAATTCATAAAGAATTAGAGAATATGCACTAAATAACGTAAGACTAAAAAACAATTAAGAAAATAATATTAACTAAATAATGTCTATTTGCTATATGGTTTTTGTCAACTTTTGGCCCATATTACTCATGAGTTCTTCGTTGTCTCTTTTTTATTTTCTCTCGCCGGCAAGAAGTCTCAAATCTCTCATTTTCTTTCATTAGATTTCTCTTATTTTTGGTCGATCTCCACTTTCTTTTTCTTTCTCTTCCTCTCGGTTGTTTCTTCACAACCATATTTTTTTTCTTTTTCTATATCACTATTTCTCTCCTTCGTCGGACATCACCACCGAGTCTCACTACTCCGACCCACCAGACTACCACCACAACTGAATCTCACAACTATCATAATCATCATCACCATCAATACTAAATCTCGCTAATTCAGACCTACTACCTTCATCAATTTTTACCGCCTCCACCACCAAGCTTGAACCACCGTCATCAACACCAACACCAACACCACTATTACCGCATCTTTCTTTCTTTCCGCAACTGCTCTTATTTCTCCACTTTCTTTTTCTCCTCCGACATCGGGTCGAGCTTCTTCGACAACAACTCTATTTAATGTCAATCGCCGTTCATAATTCTTAATTTGCCTCAATCGTCATATATTCTTAGTTTGTCTATCTATCTATTTATTTATCAATATAGGTGAGTATTTAGAATCTTTTTTCTTCTATGATTAATAATTGATTAGAAAATTTCTTTAATTATCATAAATCTTTTATAATTTTAAGAAAAAGTAATCCTTTTCTTTTAGAATTAGTAAATAATTTTTTAATTTCTATTTTTATTTAATAAGTTACATATAGATTCCTTATAATTATCTTCTTACTTTTTAAACATTGTTTATTATAAGATATATATGTATAGTTGCCTTATAATTTTTTTTCTTAAATTTCTATTTTTATTTCATAAGATACATTTAGTTTCCTTATATTTATCTTCTTTAGATTTTTAGAATTGTTATATATAAGATTTATACGTATAATTTCCTTACAAAATTTTTTCTAAACAAATATTTTTTTTTGGTTTTACAGGTTGATAAATTTGACATGTGCGTGTAGTTTCCTTATATATATATTTTTAAAGAAATAAAAGGAAATTTTTATTTAACACGTGTCAAAATCTGAGATCGATAAATTTGACACGTGGCACGAACTTATGAGTTACTAACTTTGAAAACTGTGGATGTCGGATTCACACACTCAAGTATTTTATTAAGTGGGAAGATTATTCTTGAGGGACAAAAATGAATGTGTAAAGGCTTGTGAATTGTTACAAAAATTGCTATAATGTTTCTTTCTTTAGAGGAAGATCTTTTTACATGGCCATTGGCCTTTATATTTATACATAGAGTATTGACATTAAAATGAGTAATTAAGTACAATTATTCCTTCTTAAATGTGTCCGTTTTGATTCCTTGACTTTAATGCTCAACGTTTGAATTTGAGTTGACTCTGATCTTCATGGGCCTCGCCTTTTCGGCCCAAGCGTCCTTGAACCGTCTTACCCGTGTCTTCCACATCGAACTCATGTCACAATGCAGTCACTTCGGACTCTCGAAGTGGTGACAACCACTTCGACCGTTCCTCCAGCTCATGGGTCCGATGGGCTTCGCCCTTTATGGGCCCTTATCTTGACTACGTGGCAATCTTTGGTTGGTCTCGTACTTCTGGTGCGGGATCCGACACCAACAATTAGCCCCCCAAGTTCTTCGAAGTGCTATTCCAATTCGGAGGACTTTAAATGCTCAAGTGGCCAAAGATTGCGCTCGAGAATCTTTCTGATTTTCCCGCCGAAAATCTCATCACTCCTTTAATTTCGGCACTAGCCATTTTTAACCGAGTGACATCTGTCATCATTATGACCGTATATTGATTAATTACTATTAAAACGGGAAAAACCTTCCCACTTCCCACACAACTTCCGAGGCGGTTTCATCATTAGCTTGAGGTAACTTCTTTTTACCATTACTCTCTTCTTTTACTTTTGTGCTTTAATCAAAACCTTTCTCTTTTCTTCACAAAACCCTTCTTCGACGGATCTTGAATTTTTCATTTTTCTCCGATGAATCCTGATTCTGAGAGACCTGAATCTCCTTCTTACGATGAGAGGCGCTCTAGTAATGATGAGTGCACTCGTCCTAACGATATTGCTGGTCCTCATTACAAATCGACCTGCACTCTTCAGTCCCTTGAGCGATTAAAGGGGCTCTGTCAAATTCCCCCTGGAATCATAGCGGAGGCGCAAATAGCCGACCCTACGGAATCCCCGGAGAACCACCGTGTCGGCTACTTTTGTGTTTACGAAATTTACTTCAAGGGCTGCGGATTGACCTTCCCCCTTCCCGAAGCCCTAGTTCGATTCTTGGCGGCTCTCGAGATCGCTTTACCTCAATTAACCCCCAATCTCCTCCGAACCATCCTTGGGATTATAACCGTTGCGGCGGAGGTTGGCTACGTTATTGGTGTCCCCGAGCTGAATGAACTCCTAAGCGTAAGGAGTTCGTCAAAGAAAACTGGGTACTTCTCGGCGTATCCAAATGCCAATAGAAACGTCATCTCGCACCTCCCGAACAAGGATGAGAACTGGCACCATCCTTGGTTTCTGATTAAGAAAACTCCTGCTTCGATTGGGAATCTTTCCGATGTACTTCCATCGAAGTGGTCTGCGAAACCTGGTAGAGACTAGGTCGTATATTCCTTTATTGTTCATTATTATTTTTACTGACCAAATTCGTTGCTTCATTTCGCAGCTCTCATCGCTTCAACTCTCCCGACTGAAGAATTTGTCAAGTTCTTCAAAACAATCCTTGAAGGGGAAACCCTCTGGAATTCTTTCACCCTCGAGCGATTTGTCGAGGCCAACCGAAAACTCAGGATGAGTCCTCCCAATCTACTTCATCGTCTTCCGCCTCCTCCCTCAACTCAGGGAATGTCAGCTCGGGCCCTCGCTGCCCAGCGTAAGAAGCTCTCCAAGCCGATAGCAGAGGCTTGTGATGAAAACAAGGCGTTCCTTGCGGCCGCCATCGACAAAAAAGATTACAGCAGGACCCTGCTGGTTGATGACAACAGCTCCGAGGGAGCCAGGTCCGTTGCTGCTTATAGGTTGACACCTCGCCGCGAGC